CCATGTGAAACAGTTAGTCGGTTCAAAACTTAGGAAATGTGAAGCAAAGGCTCCCATAGCGCTGTTAATTTTGCCCTCTTGTGGGGAATAGGAAGAATTCATGGTCAAGTTGCACAAATCGTATTATAGCATGAAAAATGTGCATTCATCCTATGAATGAGCGGGTTCAACAGCACTGCAGGAAGACCGAAAAACAAATATTAAATATTTTGCTCATTTTCCTTCCCTTGAGTTATATTAAGTGCAAGGCAGTTGGCTAGCCCTGGCAGATACCAACCTTAGAGAAAATAAGTTTTATCAGCAGTTGCATGACCAAACTCGGATGACAGAGAGTTTGATTTTAATTCATCGCTTCCATCAGCATCACAATGAAAATGCGATAGCAAAAAAAAAAAAAAAAAAGAGAGGCGGCCATCTGGAAGACATGCCCACATTAAGGAAATTAATATATATCTATCATTGCATGACCAAACTCGGATGACAGAGAGTTTGATTTTAATTCATCGCTTCCATCAGCCACAATGAAAATGCGATAGCAAAAAAAAAAAAAAAAAAAGAGAGGCGGCCATCTGGAAGACATGCCCACATTAAGGAAATTAATATATATCTATCATCAGTAAGCAGAGAGCAAAGCTAATTTGTACCAGGTTGCTATAGGCTCCAAAGGCAAACGAGAAGAGTACAGATAGATCATGGCCAACAGAAATTCAGCCTCAACGAGAGACACGTTGAAACAGCCCACGGGTTCAAGGCCATCTGTTCCTGGCCAGTTTTGTCACCTGAAACACGGCCAAAATTAACAAAAGCAAATGGTGCTTGCTAGAAGAAGTCATATATAGGACAGGTTTTTTTCTGAGGACATCCCAAAACACATAATCCCCCATGCATTTTTGAATCAGAGTTAAAAAAATTAAATAAAAGCGAAAAAATCTTCTCCCTGGCACAGCTACTTTTCTGCAACCACTCTGAATTATTAGGTTTTCTGACAACCCTTTCCTCATCTTTTAGAAGGAAAAAAACATGGTCACAAAATTGGCTTGAGGCCATCACCACTGTGGGCCAGCATGGAAGCCAGGAAGAGACTCCTGTCCCATGGTATCCCATAATAAAGGAGCATCCTGAGCTCTTGGCTTTGTCCTACAGTCAGATGATCTTTCAGGTCATGCTGACTGTTGGTCTCTGAACTGATTTCATGCCAGGCTCGCAACAAGAAATTTAGAATTTACTCTAAATAAAAATTTTACTCTAAAGAAAAAAATGCATCACTTACCTAGCAAAACCAACCAACCACACTGGATATGCTGACACATCCTGGAGCCAAGACCTGTGCAGTGGACTGAGCTCTCTGTGGGAGCTCTGAAGAGGTGATGTTCTTCATGACYAAGGTAGTGAAATCATTAAGTCGGAGAAGGGAAGTCACAGCAYCATCGCACAGGATGGTTGAGGTTGGAAGGGGCTTCTAGGCCCCATCTAGTCCAACCTCCCTGCTCAAGCAGGGACACCCGGAGCACATTGCACAGGGTCAGAGCCAGGCGAGTTTTGAAGATCTCCAAAGGAGGAGACTCCACAACCTCTCGGGCAGCCTCTTCCCGTGCTCTATCACCCTCAGTAAAGAAGTTTTGCACACAGAGATGAAACCGYCTGTGTTTCAGTTTGTACTCATTACCCCGTGTCCTGTCGCTGGCCACCACTGAGAAGAGTTTGGCCCARTCCTCCCTACATGCTCCCCTCAAGTACATGTTGATCCCCTCTGAATCTTCTCTTCACCAGGCTAAATAGTCCGAGCTCAGCTAGTCTTTCTCATAAAGTAGATGGCCTAGTCTCTTAACCTCTGTCACTATATGCTAGACCTCCTCTAGAARTTCCATGTCCTTCTTGTCCTGGGGAGGCTAGAACTGCACCCAATACTCCAGGTTCAGCCTCACTGGAGCTGAGGAGAGGGGCAGGATCCCCTCTCTCAACTCCTCCTGATGCAGCCAGGATCCCACTGGCTTTCTTGGCCACAAGGGCACACTGCTGCCTCACGGTTAATTTGTCAACTAGAACCCCCAAATCCCTCTTGCCTTTATTGAACCTCATGAGGTTCCTCTCTGCCCAACTCTCCAGCCTGTCCAGGTCCCTCTGGATGGCAGCACAGCCCTCRGGAGTGTCGGCCACTCCACCCAGCTTGGTGTCATCTGCAAACTTGCTCAGGGTGCTCTCAGTGCCCTCGTCCAGGTCACTGATGAACAAGTTGAACAGCACCAGGCCCAGAACTGATCCCTGGGGGACACCACGGGCCACAAGCCTCCAACTGGACTTGGCCCCATTTATCACCACCCTCCGAGCTCTGCCATCCAGCCAGTCCTCAACCCACTGCACTGTCCACTCATCTAATCCACAATTCCCGAGCTTTCCTATGAGGATGTTATGGGAGACGGTTTTGAAAGCCTTGCTGAAGTCAAGGTAGACAACATGCACTGCTCTTTCCTCATCCGTCCTGCCAGTCATCTCGTCATGGAAGGCTATCARGTTGGTTAAATAGGACTTCTCTTTGGTGAATCCATGCTAACTACTCCCAATAACCTTCTGTTCCTTGACATGCCTAGAGATGGTCTCGAGGATGAGCTGCTGCATCACCTTTCCAAGGCCCAGCCATGAAACACCTTGTGCTAGAAAATCTGATTCCAATCTTTCACCTAGAAGGCATCTCCTCACTCCTGGACAAGCTTGCAAAGACCTTAGCCAAACTTTGATCTCCTAAAAGCAAATCCTGGATGCAAAGAGTTTGGAAGTGTGCCAGGATTGAGAGTTGGAACCATGTCAGCGCAACTCACATGTGCTCTCACCTTTATACRGCAAATATTTATTCCAGATTCCTGCATTTCTCTCCCTCACTCAACACTATGACATGCACCACACACTGACCTCCTGCTTCAACACACAGACGGAGCTGTCTGTCTTTCTCCAAGGCCAGTGTTGTAACCCAGCTCAGCTCAGAGATGAAGAGCTGCTGCCTGAAGCTGAACCTCAGCTTCAAAGGCTCTTCAGTTACTTGGACTTCAGCCACATCATAGGCATGTTTAAGAATTTATTACTTTGAAGGCTCCAAAGGCTACAGAAAGCAGCAAAACCATCTCTCATCTACTACCACACGCACATCTACTTTCTCCCAGATGTCTCTACGGGATCCCACCTAATTTTTGGCCAAACTAAGTTACCATCTTTATCTGAAATATACCCACAAATTGCAAAAAGCCCTGGAATTAAGGTTGCATTTGGCAACTGAACTCCTCYGGCTAAACAGAGCTTGCTATCGCAAGGATAAAATTCACTCAGCATTTGGGATCCATCAYGTATGGGCTGAAACTCTCCCACAATTCAGACACAGCACAAACCTTACAAGGATACCCAGAGCTGAAAACGGATACCCTGGACGAGAAAAGTCTAAGAACTGATCTGGAACAAAGCAAACAGCCTGAAGCCAATGCAGCCTAGCAAAAGCTCATGTAACGTTTGTGTAAGCAGCACATGAATCCAGATGAGCAGGAAAATATTCTCTGCTCTTCAAAGCTTCTTCAGATTCTTAGGGTGAAAGAGAGAAGAGAGTTCACAGAAGAAAGAAAAATAAACGAAAAAACAGAACTGGACAGCAAAACATTAGCTCAGGCAGGGGGACGTTCTTCTCAACTCTTCACAGAATGAATCTTATGCACCCAAAATCTTCATTACCTGAGAATATTTGTATAATCAATAGCCAAAAGAGCCAAGGCTCGGAGAGCTGTTTGGAAGCTGCATAGCCATAGGTCCCAGGTGAGAGAGGAGGAGGGTGTCTGAAATCCCAGCTCGCAGCTGCAGAACGGCACCAGGCAGCCTACAAGACCCTGCTGCCTCACCCACTGCCACATTGAGGAACTCAGGGTACTCAGACATCTCTGTACCCCAGGCATGACAGTTTCAGCATGAGACCTGGACTCAAAATCACTAAGGAGACACTGGTGATACATCCTCTTCCAGCCACAAGAAAAGGGTGAATTCGTTTGAAGGTGGTTGTGGACAGAGACGTTCTTTCAGTGGAAACCCCATCTGTCTTCTGCTAACTAATCCACTCCCGAGGTACAGAAGATGAACAAAGATGGCCTCAGAATGACTCACCAAGGGGAAAAATGTAACCAGAAGGGTGTCTGGCTTGACAAGGTCCTTAATTTTGTATCAGCTGAATATATCCACACATAGGGAAGGCACAACAAGCTCAATGAAAGCTRTTTAAGAAAAAAATATGGAAAATAAGATTGAAATTGGATCTAGTAGCGTGATTACCTTGACTTGCTTATATTCGGGTCTGCTGCCTCTCCCACAGTAGTCTTCAAGGATGGTGAGGCACAAAGTCAAAAGCCAAGTTTCCATATTTAATGCTGAATAATAAAATAACCAACCGAGCGGACATCTCACTGCAAGATTCTCATCAAGGTGCTGCTTCAAGTGATGGCCCAAGGTTAAAGCAGACAGCGGGAGCGATTGCAGCCCTTCCTGAAAGAACAAAACTTGAAGCATTTCCTCGGTGTTCAATGCCCCGAACAATTCCCGTTCCAGAAAACATAATTTCCTAAGCACTGTTATTAGACAACCGATTTTTCAAGCCCTCATAACCATTAGCCAGATTCCGGCATTTTAGATACGCAGCAAATCACACAGTAAAGCTTTCATCTTCTTGACAACAAGAATCTGTTTTGACACACCAAACTACTCTGCTTTTCCTACCAGGACGTCATGAATTTCATCACAACAATGCACACGTTTTTTTTTTTTTCCTTCTGAATTTATAGCAGTTTATTTCAATATTTTGTACAGCTAGCATTGGTCTCCAGTAATAAGTTTAATCTTACATAAGTGAGTCCCTTCCCAAAACCCACCCGGGAGGAAGGAATGTTCAACTTTCACCATTTCTGATTTAGAGGAAACTTATAGGGTAAGACACAATTTGAAGAAGGGGAAGAAATCTAAATTTGTGAATAAAATCCCTCAGAAGGTCTCAGGGTTTACTTAAATCTACTTGGATTCGTGAAGAAGTGCAGAGATCAGGTCTTTCAAGGCTGCAGGAAGAATACATTCACCTAAGAAACAATTTTCTTCTCTGCAAGGGGACAGGCTTTTGTTTCCTGTTATCCTACTTGATGCCACAAGGCCCTGCTCCACCGAWACATCCTTTCCAGTCTACAATCAACATCTGTAACAGATCTTTCCAAAAGGTGCTTCCGTAGGGGTCTCGCTTCATTTATTCGTCTGCTTGCAGTACCATTTAAAACATATTCATTTCTTACTGTGCATTAGGTTGCTTTAATGCAGGCAGGAGAGAAATGACCTCAGCAGACAATATCTTTAAGGAATAAACGACACATAAAACAAATAAATACTTTAAAATATTTCTAAATGGTAATAATGTACATACTCTGTTCCAGTGCAGAACTTCATGGCCTGTTASGAATAAAGCCCTCCAAGTACAGTTCGTCAGCAGCAGATGGAGAATCCCACTCATCTGCTTTTAGTATTTTCCTGACATTACTCGAGTAATGAGGAAAAAAAAAAACCCAACCACCTAAAGAGAAACCCCCCTTCTCTTCCACAATCGGAGATTTAGCAGTGTCTGATATTAAGCAATTCACATTCTCTAGAACAAATAAAAATAAACAAGGTTGTATAAACATCTCCTGCTGCCTCCCTACAAAAATAACAACAAAAAAAAATGTAACAAACCAAAACATGCAACTGTGAAGCAGTCATCAAGCTTGGAGAAACACCACCACCAAGACACGACAGGCAGTGGGGCTGACCAAATTCCAGCCCTATTAAAAAGAAATCCACTCCAGTGGCTAAATTAGCTCCATGTGGATGGAGGCTGATAGACACCTAGATCTCTACAGACCTTCAACTTCAGAGATATTTTCTTTTGCTGCACCCTTAAGCTTCACAGTCTTTTCTGCCTATATGTCATATGCCATTATGCTGTCGTTTCTGTGCAAAAAAAAAAAATAATAAAGAGTGTGAGTGAACAGCCCAAATGCTGAACCTGATCCAGAAGCTCCAGAAGGAAGCTAGAATTTTACCAGTCCTGACTGAAAATGGGCAGGGGAATATTTGGGATTTTATTGACTCAACGTCCTCAATTTAAGCCAGGTTAAGTCAAGTCTTAAACCCTCATGAAACCTTAAAATCAAAATAAGATCTTGACTCATAAGACCCAATTCTTCATTATTTTGAAAGCCTCATTTTATAACAGTCACTAGAGAGTCCAAGACGTCTTTTAGAAGAAGAAATCTGCATTTCTTGGAATCAGAAGGAAGATAAGGTCACTAGAGCGATGCACCTTGTTGGTTTTGGTTTCTTTTGCAAAAAGGGACCAAAAATTTGGGCAAAAAGAGAGTCATTGTGGAAATTCCTTGTGTTTCCTAGAGAGAATATATTGCTAAAGCTACGGAAACTTTCAGCCGTGCAAAAAGGAGCCAATGTAGCACCTCACTCCACAAGAGCATCCCAAAACGCCCTACAACACAACAGAAGCAGCCCCCTTGCGTGAATGGTATACACCTGCCTGAGGGTTTTGTGATGCCACGTCGTGGGTTTTATTTTTTTTTCTTTTGAGAAGTTGAATCCCAATGAGAATAAAACAAATTCTCCCTTTTGTTTAAACGGTTCTTTTCAACATGTTATATATATACAACCTTTAAAATACACTTAAAAATAGCTGCACACGTTTTATATCGTTCTACTAGAGAAGGGCAGTCCGGACAGACCATGCTTCTCAATGTATTAAAAACTGTAAATAAAACTCAACCAGACTTCTTCTCCTCTGGTACCTGGGCTGGTCCAAAGGAGGGAAGGGAAGGAACAAGCAGTTTTAAAATGGGAGTCTTTCACAAAACACGCTACTTACAAATCTCAGGTTAGCTTCCTCAAGCAGTTTTATATCAAATTCCTCCTTAAATATCTGAGGTCGCGCGCTGCTGTCTCACGCAGTGACATCTGTTGCATGTGCCAGCTTCCCACTAAACCAACTGCAACCCTGAGGATATGTCTGGCCTGGTAGAAAGAGGAAATGTAACACAATTCCCGAAGTATGGCTGGTCCTCCGCTGCGGAATCCTGTATAGCCTCCTCGATGGTTCTTGGACACACACCCACACTTCTCGTTTCTCCCCTCCTTCGTTCGCTCTTCCCTCTAACCCACAAGCAGATTTCTCCTCCACATCCACACCCTGAGGTCCCAAGGGAACAATGTGCATCATCCATCCAGAGGTTTTCCCAGGTAGACCAAAGTCACTTCCGTGTTACCATACACGGCCGACACGGCGGGGTACAGGCAAACTTTCGGCAGTCCCCTGAAGGCAACGCCCAAGAACTCGTAGCCCCTCTCGAACGCTAACGTCTTGTCTTCCATGTCCAGGATCACGCGAATCCGCTCGCCTATCTGCAAAGGGGAATAAGGAAAGGAAGAAAACAAGAAAACAGAACAGGAAAATGTCAACTTACTGAACTGGAGAGAGGGAAAATACTGCAGAGCGCCGGCGCAGTCCAGCGGATCACCTCAAAGCGAGGTTTTCCTGCACTCCTTTTGCCAGCAAGGTGCTCCGTTTCACTGGTAAATTTAAATTTCACTGATAAGTCACTTGCCAGGGGCAGCCTCTATGCAACCCCCAGAGCTGCAGCCAACGCAGCGCTTCCCCTCAGCRCGCCGCGATGGCGCTGAGAACCAGCGTCACTCATTGCACCCGCTGCCCAGCGCCGCGGCCTCCAGCCGGCKTCGCCCGAACCCGCCTCCGCGGCTGTTATCACTGACCAGCAACGTCTGCGAGGAGCGACTTTACAAGCAACAGTCCTGCTTTAGGAAACAAAGATAAGCACAACGTACGAAATAGAGCAGAATATTTTACCGTGCGGGTAAGTACTGTCACCGTYGGGGCGATTCCTTTACGGAAGGGGAAAAAAGTTACAGTATAAAGCGGAGGCAAAGGGAGCATGAAAAGAAAACCTAAARTACATATATATGCATGACTATATATGTATACTCATAYATATACACACCCTGCATTCACCTAGCACATCTTTGAAACCTCAGTGCAAGCCAGAGAAACCAGGAGCAAACAGAGCATGAGCCAGGACAAACTTCTGATGCTCCCCAGGTCAGCTCCAGGTTGGAGCTTTCTTCTCACCAATACATTTTTCAATGTGTAGTTGCTTTTAGCATATTATGTAAAAGTAGCTCATTATGCACGTTTCACTAAAGATAAACCACCTTAAAAGATAAGCCACCAATACCAGCCCCAAGCAGTTAAAAAAAGCAACTGCAGAAAAAGCAGCTGTGAGAAGCGCTCACCCTCGAGGGCACAAGAGCCTGCCCGAGCTTCTAAAACTCTTCTGGTCTTGGTGCTACCTAAAAGCTGACATTAGCGACAGCAAAAAACGGCCAGAAATGGTCCAGTGAGGACCAGCAGGCAAATCGTCGCTGTGAAGGAGGCCTGGAGAGTGGAGGTAAAGCCATTCTGACACAAACCGAGGGGCAGAGCAGCATTCCCTCCTTGGCAACGTCTCCCCATCTCCCCAGCTCCAGAGGCTGGCTCGAGGCCGCTGGCTTTGTGCCCAGCACGGCCCGCAAAGGTACGTGATGGAAGCGGGCATCGGAGGAGGGGGCTCCGAGCGCGCGGAGCAGCGACTTGGCTTCGCCGGGGAGCGTCGGCGGGGCCGCCCCCCGCTCACCCACCTGGTACTTGGGCGCGTTGTTGCACTGCGGGAAGCTGCCGTTGACCTCGCCGTTGTGCAGCAAGTTATTGTCCACCAAGTTCCAGCCCCAGCTCTGGTCGTCGCTGCCCAGCAGCGCCACGTAGCCCTGGCACTGCATGGCGGCGCGCTTGGTGGCGATGCCGATGACGGCCACGGTGCCGAGCGGCCCTTCCCACCACACCTCCCAGGCGTGGCGGCCCTCGCTGAAGCCGATCTTGGCGCGGGCGCCGTCGGTGCTCTGCGCGATGGGGTTGCGGTGCAGCGTGAAGCCGTTCTTCTTGATGTAGACGTTGCGCGAGCAGTCGTTGGTGCTGAAGGCGTGGTGGAAGGCGCGCACCTGTGCGGGGAGAGGAGGGCGCGAGGCGTCGGGGCGCGCGGGGCGGCGTTGGCGGCCCCGGGACCCGCGCTCACCTTGCCCTTGTAGGTGGGCACGTTGCAGAGGATGTCGGTGCGCAGCGCCTCCTCGGCCAGGCAGCGCGCCGCCAGGCTGCGCCACACCTCGCTGTTCTCGTCGCCGTGCAGGACGCGGTGCCAGAGCTTGCAGACGAGCGCGCAGCTCCGCAGCTCGCGCAGCTCCAGGTAGGAGAAGACGAGCTCCAGCACCCGCCCGGGCAGCCGCCAGCCCGCGCCGCCC